TCTGATGGTTGGAAATGAAGGATTAAATGATAAACTCCTGCTATTCCATCAAACTAACTACCCCCTCAAAAAAGTCATCAATTGTGGAAATGAGTTTCTCTTGTTTTCTTGAAAATAAATATAGATATTCAGATTTTGCTGCATATTTGTGTATTTTGAAATAAACAATTCAGTGTGCTGCCTTGGTTTCTTGGTAATTGCCTTATTTCTCTGTTTTTGGTGAGGAATATGTCGAATTTTCTGCTAGAGTGATTCCGTAACTCATTTCTATTTGGTGAAATTCTCTGATAGTTTCTGATTGGGAGAATTATGGGATTCCACCGATCTTTTGATATCATATCGGGTCATAAACTATCGCTGATATTGACTGACACCAAAAATAATAGAAAAGATAATCTCTTGATTAGCTCAGATCTTTGGATCAAATACTCTACCAGAAAAATTCTGGAATCGCTTGAAATATGAACTCTGTGGCTTGTTCAATGGGAACTTTAATTAATGAACGGTATGATGACTGAGACGTTCAAAAATATAATATATCGAAGAAACAATGACATAACCAATCATCTTTTTATCATCAAATTTTTCTCTGTTTATAATGGGTGTGGTGATCATTGAAACATAGAAAGCAGTCAGCTCGTTTCTAAAATATCCGTCTGCTCATGCGTATTTTACTTGATTTCTCTCCAAAATTTGAATAAAGTGTCTGATTTTCTTGCATTTCTATACAATCTAAAGTATCAACTCCATTCCCATTTACTTTATTTCTTGCTAATTCCTCTCCTTTCCACTTTATCTTGCATCTCAAAACACGACCGTCATGCAATTTCCAATACAAGTAAACACCATGAGATAATAACAGACACAAACAGAACAAAAAAATTGAGTCAGCTACTTAAAAAAGACTACACGGGATGTGATTTCTTGAGCTCTGGAATTTATCTCAAGTCATTTCTTTACTAATGGTAAGTTTGATATGAAATAGCAAGTTTAATTGAGGTAAGCCAGCCATTTGATTAGGAGAATGCTTCACTCCACTTAAAAGCCTCAAAGATATGATAGGACAAGACTCTCGAGTATACAGCGGAACTTGTAAAATTGAACACCTTTATGCGTCAAAATGTTTTTAAAGAGCTAAATGTTATTGATTCTATACAATGGGGGATTGCTTGATATATGAAGTCTGTATTTTAGAGTGTGTATCTATAAGCAGCTCTGTAGCCAGATGGGGGGAGGGGGGGGGGGCAAAATGACAGATTTTTGACCTCCAATTTTGACCTAGAATTTTTCCAAATGTAGATTTGAGTCCCTCTGAACAGTCCATCCAAAGTCACAAACTGACAAAAATTCAGATTTTGAGTCATTTGAACAATGTAAATCCCTGGGGTTGAATCTCAAGCTTAGAAAATATCGGTTCAAAAGTGTTTAACTTAATCGGTTATAATGTACTATAAATATATTATAGGAGTGGGTGGTAGGGCCAAATAAGATGATCTCGCTCCTCATCCATATTTACATGTTGGGGCATGGGAATCTAGAATATGACCCTCAAATCAGAATTATCCCATTGTCCCCAATTTATTACAAAATACACTCCAAAAAATGCAGTTTTACAGTAGATAAAACCCCAGCCAGACGGTATAAACTATCATTCTTTCCAGAGACTAGGCAAGTCCTATGCATCAATGTTAATTAAATAGATATAAAAGGTGTATTGCTTAATTAAGATAGGGTATGCCAAAAATCTATTCGCTTCACCTGTCAGGGAACTCTGGCTATCAAAACAGGATCTGCAAATATATTTCGTTTTTTTGTACCATCATAATACTGGTGATCTTACGATCTTAAAGGGTGCAACATATATATTAAAAATTGACCCAATTCTGAGTTATTCAATCCTGTCGAGGCTCTGGTCATATTTGTGTGAATATACCCAGCCAAATGAGCTTAAACAGACATCACTTGGAATTGCAATGACAATTAAATCCTGAATTCTGTTGACTTTGTGTTTTATCTAATGAATATTGAAATTCAAAGTTGGAGTTAGAAACTAGTCTTTAAGAAGAAATTAAGTGTGTACTAAACAGATAGAAAACAATATACCAAAATCATTTCACCACAAAGATAAGAAAATCATTATCCCAGTTAAAGCAACCTCAAAGAAGAATTAAGTTTGAACATCATGTTGGTTGAATGTCATATTGTTTGAATGTCATATTGTTTGAACATCATGTTGGTTGAATGTCATATTGTTTGAATGTTGTATTGTTTGAATGTCATATTGTTTGAATATTATATTGTTTGGATACCATACGTTTGTAGACTATGTTTTTGAATATCATGTTGTTTGAATATTATGTAATTTGAATATGATGTTATTTGAATGTTATGTTATTTGAATATCATATTATTGAACTATCATGTCATTTGAAAAATGTTTGAATATCATATCTGATTGAATTTCATATTCTTTGAAGATCATGTTATTCGACTGTATTTGACTTGAAAGTTTATAACTTTATATACATGAATAATATTCATATTCTATCCCTCCCATTAAATATCCTCTACATGCATAATATTCATATCACATGCCTGACATTTCTTACCGATCATCATTATAATATATTTTAACAAGAAACCAAATCATGCAAAAGCTCAAAATCACAAGCAATCATACAAATTGGTCATTTAGAAATCACATCGCATGTAATAATAAACTCTCGGAATAAATGCGAATTTCATGTTATATCAAAAATGACTTCACATTATGTAAGAAATTCCCACACATTTTGTTATCAGATTTGAAATCATTATATACATGTCATAATTAATAAAGCCAATAGAAATCAGAGACAATTTACATTTCATTAAATTGTTGTTAAAATGGACGGCCATTCTGCAATCAAGACATCTGACCTAATCAATTAAATATAATTCTGATATTTCATGACACATGGCTGCTAATATATAAAGAAAAATCACTCAAATTTAGATGAAATGCACGGCAGGATTTTTGGGATATCCGTGGGATTTTGCGATGACAACTGAGACAATCAGGCTAATTTATTAACCGCTGATCAAATTTTGTCATAGGGGCTCTTTGGCTTTTTGATTTCAAACTGTTTGGATTGTTGATATCCATTGTCATCAAATAAGCCCCATTATGTTTTGATTTTTGATTCAATAAATTTCATCAGACTAACTTTCTGTTTTTGTTTGTTTTTGCCATCAATCTTAAAGATCAGTTCTTGTAAGTTCATCCCTATTTCTCCCTACAAGAGTTTCTCTCTAAAATTTAAGGAATTGTTTTAATTTTTGACCTTTCTATATAATAGAGTATGGTCTATATGTCTGTTTACTTTATTCCTTGCAGATTCCACACTTTTCCACTCTATTTTGAGTTGAAAACAGAACCTTATGATATCATTCCTGATTTCATACTCTAATACTTATAATATAACAAACATGTATACTGTACTTTATTTTCTTTATTAAATTATTAATCAAATATGTATCTATCTATTTCATATCGTATCATCACAATTCCAGAAATATAGTTTAAACATTAACAAGAATTATGTCTCAGAAGAAGTTTAATATCTTTTAATTGTTTGACACAATATCTATATTTGTGTAAGACTCTTATTCCCGAAACAAAGGTCCCATAAAAGACGTACAATTGGAGCAACCTAAATAGGATTAATGCTTCCTCCCATAACATTAATCTAAACTAATTCTTGTATTGGGCGATGTTTACGCATACGAGGGGTCACGCGGGATTGAACCTTTCTTATTACGTCTCAACTAAGCGGTATCTACGAGACCCTAGAGATTGACCAATCAAAGACTACCTGAAATTTCGGTGAATAATAAATACGGGTTTGATGTTCCAATTAGACGGAATAATAGACAACTCGTAAAAAAAATTCTTCTAAGTCACACATATTTCACGCCTTTTCCTGCCTAGAAATAAAGCAATTTTCTGATTTTCTAGAATTTCCATACAATTTAGAACCTCAACTAACAGAACCCATTTCCCGATTATTTCCTAATCCCTCATTTCAACACCAATTTTGCGTTTCTAACCACGACCATTGTCCATTTTATCTCCAGGAATATTACAGAATTAAGCTCATGAGAGCTCTTTCCAAGAGAGTTAATATAAACTCCTTCTCTTTATAATGATTCACTGATCAAAATTACTAAGCTGTAATTGAGTTTAAAGTCACAACTAGGGATCAACCAGATGAAAAATTGACACTCCCTTGCCGTCAATCTGCCAAATAGTCTCAAAACAGAAAATAGTCTCAAAGCATTCCTTGATTTCCACTCTAAAGCTAATTCCGAAGTATTATTAATATTTAAGCTGTTCAATATATCATATTTCTGAATTGTTCATTTTTCATCATATAAGGACCATATTTTACATGGAAATAAACCATGCCAGATAAATATCATTTGATCCTTTGAAATCCGTCAAGTAAATATAGTTGTTGATATCGACTCATCCCAATTGTGCCATATTAACAACCTTTAAAATGGTATATCACAATTGGTATTCCAATAACATTACATTGGGAGACAAACTAAGCGTTTTCATTGACACCTTCTGGATAATTCACATATCTACCTATAAATAGTGTTATCCCCTATAAAGAGGATACCATTTATTATAGGTAGATAAATGTACAAGTATAAGTCTTATACAACCACAGACTTTGTAGTGGTTATAAAAATTCATGTGATTGATTGTTTGACAGTTTGGTTGATTGTTTGATCAAGGAAAAATTGTACATTTGATATTGATTGATTGATTGATTGTTTGGTTGAGTGATCAAGAGAGTATGAGTTAAATAAACATAAACATTTTTAAACATTTGCAATAAACATTGATTACTTGATTGTTTAACTGTTTGTTTGTTTGTTTGTTTGTTTAATCAGTTGACTGATTGATTGCATCATTGTCATAACAACAAAGAATTACTGAAAACACTTACCTCTCTTTTGCATGAAAGAAAACAGATCGTCTAAAAACTCGCGTCTTTTGGGATCATCTGATAATTCATACAACTGAAAAACACCAAAAATCAAGAAATACAAAGATATTCAGACACGTTTGGATAAGTCAGGTTGAACATATTTATCTACTGTTTCATTGCTGATTGTTTATTTCGAGGTGATATGAGAATAATTTATATTTCAAAATGAGCCCATTCTGATATCTTATTAAGATATGCTCATACCAGGCCCGTAGCCGGGGGAGCAGAAACTCCCTCCCCTGGCCAAAAATTGTTTCAAAATCAAGCAGTTTTTCACCACTCTAAGCACCTTTTGCATGATTTTTTAGCAAAACTGTCTGAAAAGCTCCCACTTGGCAAAAGCTCCCCCTTGGTAAAAGCTGGCTATGGGCAAGCAGCAGACCAACACTCAAATGTTAGCTTCATATGATACAAGCATTGAAAGCTCAGAAACTACTTTCTTTAAAACTTCTGTGGTCCATCATCGCTGAAAATGACATTTCTACTGTAAACTTTACTTCAAAACCATATGAAAGAATATCAATTCTGGTTGTAACAACAAAACATAGCGATTAGTTCCAAAAATATAAAATGATAAACACATTGCACGATTTTGTATATAATAAGGGTTTCGATGCACCTTGATGAAAAGCTAGAATTTGACTCTGCAAATTAGCCCCGATTCTATCGGTTTATATTTCAGATGTTGTTATCTGACTAAATATGTGTTATTTTCATTTAGATATTTTTCTTATGCCAATTTGCTGCTTGGTTCAAAGTAAATAAATAGTATCAGATGAAACTACATTTCGTGTTTGTGATACATCGAAGATTGCGTTCGAGAAAACCACTTTCAATTTCTGGTTACTTTCACTTCTACATTTATGTTTTATGTTTGACACTTTTTCGATCAGTATCCATGGCTGAAAAATTGGTTTGAAAACAGAGCATTTTTATCATTTGACAGTGTTTGACTGTGCTAGATACATGTTTGCCTAATAATCATTTCTACACATTTCAAAAAATAATTTGTATATTTCAAATTATCAAAGTTTGAGTATTTCTAGTTAAAAACACTGTGCCAGATTATTTTGTCATTGCATGTCTTGGGGTCAATGATTTTGTGATGACAAAATTTGTCACTCTAGGTAATGAAGATTTAAAGTAACAATATTTCTCAATTGCAATAGTGTTGCATCTCACTGGGCCTAAACCACATACGTTTGAAAATGAAAAAGATTAAACAAAAACACATTCCAAGCCAGGTTGAAAGAGAAATAACAGGGTAGAATTCAAATAAAATTTGCTTGAAAATTACTGAAAGAAACTGCTTGATACTGGAACAAAAATACAGATTGTTATGAACAGCAGGAGACCTGCACCAAACTGCAGGACACAGCAGGCAAACTTTACAATAACGATTGCCATTTAATAAAAATCTATAAAAAGCTAATTAAGCAATAAATTAATGATAATTTAATATATTATACAAATTATGACAATTAGCTAAGAAGTCTTCTTGTTCAATTGAGTCAATTCGCAAATCAACCAAGAACATATGTGAAAGTAATGTCACCGTGACATGGCATGCTATTGTGCAAAACTTCCATGTAATATTTGAATAAAGCGCCTGATTTTCTTGCATTTTTATATGATTTAGAATGTGTACCAAATCTTTGTTTATGAATTCTACTCTTTGACAATTTATTTGCAATTTAAAATATGACAGTTGTCAGATTCTTTCTTGAATTATTACTCTCAATATGACTATCATATCCATCTTTAGGGGGTCAACTTTGGATAAAATATCCGTCTGCTTTGGGTTAATTCTAATCATTTCTCTGCAAAATTTGAATAAAGGCTCTGGTTTTCTTTCATTTCTATACAATTTAGAGTATTGACTACATGCCTGTTTACTTTATTCCTTGCTAATTCTACCATTTTCCACTCTATTTGACATTTCAAAAAGTGACCACCGTATGAATTGATACACGGTTGCACTAATTTTCTGACATCTTCATGGTAGGTCGAAAAGACAAGAAATTCCAACTTGAGAATCTGCTTGCTTTGGAGAGCATTTATTTCACAGTTTTATAGACAAATTCTGTGGCATTTAGATCTCTTAATAGGACTTTCTGACCCCTTCCCAGCTTGGGTCCACTGACACTGCATATTTGTCCAAGATTACTCCGTATCTCCCAGTTTGAGATGAAAAACTCCGGATGAGCTGAGTGTCTTATTCAGTTTATCTGACTTAGATTATTTCAATGATAAATGTGCCTGGCAAGATTCAGAGCTGACAGTTAATGAACTACTTTCCCAATGTCATGGTGGTGATGTTTTAAAATGCAAAATAAAATACATAAGAGAGGAATGAGCAAGAAAATGAGAGAACCCAGATAAAGCGAACACTCTAAATTATACAAAAATGCAAGAAAATCAAACACTTTATTCAAATTTTAGAGAGAAATTAAAGGGATTAATCAGGCCAAAAGTGACATTTTGAAACACCAGAAGACATTGTGGTATTTCATTTTTGGCCTTTGCCTTACTAAATATTTCTGGTAAACCATTAAATCATCATTAAAGTTAGTCCAATATATCATTAATTCATAAAAACTGGAGCAAGATAAATTTGATGCTAAGTTTTTCTGTTTCTTCCATCAATTGGGATTAAACCTCAAAAAACACTTATCTCGACCAAATTTTAACCAATGTGGTTAAACAATGTTATGTCATGTGGTTAAAGGGATATAGACCATTGGTGAGGAAATTCAAAAACAATATTTTTATTTCTAGAGGTCATTGATCAGTCATTAAAGGCCCCATGTAACAATTTACCCAGTTTGTTTATAGTCTTTTTCAAACTATACATAGAGCCTTTAATTTAAGATCAGTGATCCAGAATGTTTTAAGAACTTGTGCCACCATCAAGTTTCATCGAGTCACCCCTTGCTCTCTTTGGGTATTACAGAATGGGAAAGTGGGAGACAGAACCCTGTAGTCACCCCCACAAAAACGCAACCATAAATCATATATAAGAAAAGTTGTTTCATTAATACACATTAATAGGGGTGTACAGAAGACTAATGCATCAAATGACAGCAACTGAGGTGATTTTCCCACTTGTCTTATTTTAAGAGATAACATCCTCTGATCTTCTTGGATTTTTGTGTAATTAAGAGTGAAATCTAAATGCATATTCAATTTATTCCTTGCTGATTCTACTATATTTTAACTTATTAATGTTTAAAATGTGACAATTGTGACACATTTTTCTTGGGTATTATTAATGAACAATGTTATGTGACAATCTTAAACTGAAAGAAATGAAGAAGTTGCATGCCATCCATTGAATGGAACATCCTTAAGGTCATGTCTTAAAACATGAAATACTGAGAGAAATTGAGGAATTAGCATGGAATAAAGTATATAGCCATGAAGCAGACACTCTAAAGAATATAAAAATGCAAAAATATGAAACACTTTATTCAAATTTTAGAGAGAAATTGAGTGAAATAAGCACAAGCAGACGGATATTAAGCCATGGAAAGCCAAAATGGGGCAGGTGCAGTTTGCTAAAACATAACCATTATCAAAACGCATGCCCTCACATTATAAAAATGAATTAATGTCAGCCAGTCAATCTTATAACAGAAAAAATATCAATTTACGTCATCAAAATCCTCAGATCTAGATTTACGATAATTCTTAAACATGTGGATGTATGTTAATTTATGCTTTCCAAAATCTAGAATATGAGAATTAGTATATAGTAAATCAAATATAATCCTCATCAAAACCCTTAAGAAGATAATAATTAAGACGGTAATAATTTTTTTTATAATCTTACCGAGGTTATATCCAACCTCAGCTTTAATCTCTACATCCAAGTAGAACAATGAGTCTAAACCCCACATATATAGTCACCCCTTGCGAATAAATAACCAGATCAACTGACATATTCTCTGTATCGCAATCAAGCAAGAAAATGAGAAATATGGGTGACAATCAAGTCCTGGTCTATTAGTAAATTAGATTCATGAAATAAAATCAATTTGATGTGTTATGACTAAAAATGTGTAAGTTCGAGGACGAATATTTTTTTGATGGGGGATTTCTTGGAAACAGTATTTCAACTTTAATGGCTATCTGGGATTAATATGCTCCGTAAAATCTAGATATATGGCGGCTTGGGTATCAAAGACATTGAGATTGGAAGCGAATCTACTAGCAATTTGTTTAAATCTTAATGTTATATAGACAAAGGAGCTTAGAATGTGTGACAAAGCAAATCATCACTTTTGATGAAATCTTGATCACTGAATGACGTCTGCTCAATATGCTTATTTCTTGGAATTTCTCTCTAAAATTTGAAGAAAGTGTTAGATTTTCTTTTGGTTTTATGTACTTTAGAATATGAATGTCACATTTAGGTATATAATTTCTTGCTAATTCTTTCGTTTTTATCTGTTTTATGCTCTAAAAAAACATTTACATTTTATCCCATGGTGATATTATCAGGAACAATAAAAAATCTAATCATCACACACTTGTTGTTGAATTAGTTTCATAGAAATCTCATTTTTATGATGAAATGTCACGAAAACTACATAATCCAAATTATGCACAAAATTTGCATATATATTCCAAATGATGCCAATAGTACATTTCTCTAAATAAAAATGAAATGCTGATTAATAGTGAAAATGTACCGAAATATCTCTCTCTATCAAATTAATCCATTCCCAATGGTGTATTTTTCTATCAAATTATTATAACATCTATTGTTTTTAGGTTCGTTGGGGCCTAATGAAAATGTCCACATTCGATTATTACTATTAATGAAAAGAGACGTCTATCCCCTGAGGGTTTTGTTCTATTAAATTGATAGTACTTAATGGCCAATCGGGAGAATCACATCAATATGGTTTCGATGATCTTCTACAATTTATATAAAAATGCATCAAAATCATATTTTTTGAACTAAAAAAATACTAGTTATTCGGTAAAATACATTTTGAGTATTCACTTTTTTCCAGCTATTATTAT